CTATATAGAGAAAAATTAGCCAGGCACTGTGCTATGCCGTAGTCCCAGCTATCTCGGGAGGCTGAGTGCAGGCAGGAGATCAGCTCGATGGGTCAGGAGTTCGGAACAGACCGTGAGCAACGAGGGAGACCCGCCTCTCTTAACTAAAAAATGAGAAAGAATATAGCTAGAGAACTAAAAAATATAGGAAAATGAGCCGGGATGGTGCGGCATGCCGCTAGTCCAGTAGCACTGGTGAGGAGGCTGAGGCGCAGGAGAGATCCGTTGGAGCAGGAGTTGGACATTGCTGTGAGCGAGGCTGACGCCACGGCACTCACTCGTAGCCTGGGCAACGTAGGCGAGACTCGTGTCCCACCGCAAGAAAAAAAAAAAAAAAAGTTATCTCCCAGAATAAACTGAAACCCCCAGGGACCCCCAGTCCGGAGTCTAAGATCTTAGCCACGATTACGCTCTTTAACCACAACATTGAGGCCACTTGAAATGGGTGCCAAAATTAATCCTTAACCCCTTTTGGTGTATGATGTTTTCCGTGGAATTACAAGGTTAAGCTATCACCTACTTAACCCGCCGTGTGACTATTTTAGAAGGAACTCGCTTTAGAAGAAACATCAGGGTTAAAGCTTTTAGGTGGTTCTCGGGAAAGAAGCGAAAAGTAACCGACAAGGAGCAAGAAGAAAGGGGACCAACAAGCGGAAAGAAAAATTCTCACTTTCTAATAACGCAAGATTCGTCTTTACCTGTGAGAGTGGAATTCCACGATTCTGGGGACCTGGAACTAAACGGGAGATAAAATCAGATGTGAATATACCTTCCTGGTCAGGAGACGGATGGGGAGGCACAAACAAGCAGACGCAAAAGGCCAAAGCAGCGGGGCGCGGGTGGCTCCACGCCTGTCATCCCAGCACTCTGGGAGCGAGGCGGGAGATCGCTCGAGGTCAGGAGTTCGAGGACCAGGCCCTGAGCAGGAGCGGAGACCCCGTCTCTACTTAAAACCAGAAAGAATTAATTGGACCACGTAAAAATACTTATTAGAAAAAAAATTAGCCGGCGTGGTGGGCCATGCCTGTAGTCCAGTCTACTCGGGACGGCGAGGGCAGAGGATTGCTTGAGCCAGGGTCTGAAGGTGCTGTGAGCGAGGGCTGACGCCACGGCACTCACTCTTAGCGCCGGGCCGGCAGAGCGAGACTCTGTCTCAAAAAAAAAATAAAAAGGTCAGCAAAGTGCAAGATGTTTCTCATCTAATATACCTCTGGTTTTTTTTTGGGGGGGGGGCGGGCTGAAAGGCTCACAGGTCATTTTGGCTAACGTGCCTAGGAGTTTATCGAGTGTATTTATTTTTTTTGAGACGAGCTTGCTCTGTCGCCCAGGCATTAGAGTGAGGCCGTGGCGTCAGCCCTCGCTCACGAGCAACTTCGAGGACTCCTGGCATCAAGCAGATCCTCCTGCCTCAGCCTACCTCCCGAGTAGCTGGTCCAGGCACGCGCCACCACGCCCGCGCTTTTTTTCTCTGTACATATTAGTTGGGCCAATTTAACTTTCTTTCTATTTTACGTAAGAGTGGGTCTTCTCTGCTCGGTCGGTCTGGAACTCCTGGCCTCCAGCGATCCCTCCGCCTCGGCCTCCAGATTGCTAGGACAGGTTGTCTTTTTCACAGAATGTCTTTTTTTTTTCATTTTTAAAATTTTTTTAAGGCTGGCTCATAGTGCAGGCAGCGGGAGTGGATACAGAATGTCTTTTGATCTGGAAGAACGCCTAGTGTGGGATGGCGGATCAAACGGGTAGATCCACTCGTATCGCTTTTTTATGTATATTATATTTTGAGACAGGAGTCTCGACTCGTTGCCAGGCTTAGAAGTGAGTGACGTGGGTCAGCCTCGCTCACAGCAACCTCAGACTCCTGGGCTCAAGCGATCCTCCTGCCTCAGCCTCCTCCCGAGTAGCTGGGACTACAGGCATGCGCCACTGCGCCCGGCTGACTTTTTGTCTCTCTATATATTAGTTTTCCAATTAATTTCTTTCTATTTATAGTATAGACGGGTTCTCACTCTGTCGCCCGGGCTGGAGTGAGTGCCGTGGCGTTAGCCTCGCTCACAGCCACCTCGTATCCCTGTGAGGCGTCTCCAGGTTGCTTCCCGCGGAGGCTGGGCCAGTCTGCAGTCCCACCAGCGGAGCGGGTGTGTTCCCGGGTCTCTCCGCACCCGGGCCAGCAGCAGCCTCACCACACGGTCCGTAGCACGGAGGGGGATTGTAGGGGAGGCTGGAGGAAGAGGCCCAGAGAGCACCTGGGCCCCGAGGCCGAGGACGGGGAGCCTCACCTGCGAAGGAGAAGGCCGTGATCTCCCGGAGGTGGGGGGCCGCCGGCGGGGGCCGGTACAGGATCTTGCCCTGGTTCACGTCCTCCTGCGTGAAACGCCGCACGGGGGAGTGAGGCCGGTCCCTGTGCTCCACGGTCCCTGCCAGGAAGAGGCTCAGCGTGAGCATCGGCAGTGATGGCCTCCAGGCTCACTGGGGGGGACGGGAGAGGCGGGGGCCTGTCGTCCTCAGGGACCCCGGCTCTCCGGTTATCCAAGAAGAGGCTCACGCCTGTCACCCCAGCACTCCGGGAGGCCGAGGCGGGAGGATCGCTCGAGGTCAGGAGTTGGAGACCAGCCTGAGCAAGAGCGAGACCCCGTCTCTACTATAAATAGAAAGAAATTAATTGGCCATCTAAATCGGCTATATTCAGAAAAAATTAGCCGGCCGCGGTGGCGCGGTGCCTGTTAGGTCCGTACTGGGGAGGATGGCTGAGGCAGGGAAGGATTTGCTTGCGCAGCCGGAGTGGAGGTTGTCTGTGAGCGAGGCTGACGCGCGACTCGGCACTCACTCTAGCCCCGGCCGACGACGAGTGCTGATGACTGTGTCCAAAAATAAGAGCTAAACATACGTAGGAATAGAAAATCAAGATGAAAATAAAGATAAAAACTCACAGATCACGCGAATAAAAAATACAAAAATATAGAAAATAAATAAAATAAAATAAAAAATAAATAAATAACCTCTCGCTAAATACAAAATAACGACAATAAAATAAAATCAAATAAAAGACTAACATTAAATAAAAATTAAAAATAAAAAAAAAAAATGCAAAAATAAATAAAATAATAAAATAAAATAAAAAAATAAAATTCAAATAAGAAAACTAAAATTAAATTAAAAAATAGAGGAGTCAAATAAAATTAAATAACAAAATAAAATAACATAAAATAAAAGATAAAAAATCAAATAAAAACTAAAATTAAATTAAAAAATTAAAAAATAAAATCAAAAATAAAATAAAATAATAAAATAAAATAAATAAAATTAAATTAAAAAATCAAATAAAAACTAAAATTAAATAAAAAAATTAAAAAATTAAATCAAAAATAAAATAAAATAATAAAATAATAAAATAAAATAAATAAAATAAAATAAAAAATAAACCAGAGGACAGGAGCAAGGGGTGTAAACAACTGCAACTCCTGAAAACACCCACAAACGGCGCTATGGGGGTGAGCAGATGGGCTGCGGGTTTCGGCGCCGGCCGGTAACTGGAAGACGGGAGCCCCACGCCAGATCCCGTGCGGCGGCTCACCGTGCTCGGGCTGCAGAGGCAGCGTGATGTTGTACACGACCTCCCTGCTCGGCCTCTCGGGGCTCGCGAAGGGGAGGGAGCGAGGCTGGATGACCGTCGGGCCGTCTTCCCGAGCCTGCAGAGATTTCAAGAAGGAAGAAGAAAACCACGGCGTGAGGAACGCGAAAGCCAGAGGCAAAAACCTAACCCTGCATAAGAGCAAAAAAATAAATTCGCTCTGGACTTTTACATTAGTCACACGTGGCACAGTTTTCTCCACGAGTTCAAAGAAGGATCTGGTTTTTTTGCATCGTGGGTTTGTCCTTAGCCTCAAGAACCTCTCGGGGAGCCAGGGGTGGGGGCCCGGTGAGGAGGCTCACGCCTGCCATCCCAGCACTCTGGGAGGCCGAGGCGGGAGGATCGCTCGAGGGCAGGAGTTCGAGGCCAGCCTGAGCAAGAGCGAGACCCCGTCTCTACTATAAATAGAAGGAAATTAACTGGCCAACTAAAAATATATATAGAAAAATTAGCCGGGCGTGGTGGCGCATGCCTGTAGTCCCAGCTACTCGGGAGGAGGCTGAGGCAGGAGGATCGCTTGAGCCCAGGAGTTGGAGGTTGCTGTGAGCGAGGCTGACGCCACGGCACTCACTCTAGCCCGGGCGACAGAGTGAGACCTTGTCTCACAAAAAGAAAAAAAAAAATGTGAAGGCAGGCTGGAGCTCGGCACGCTGTCTCTCCCGGCTCTCTGAAGCTTTGCTCATTTTTCGGGGGGAATCTCCCCGTTTGCGAAAGGGCGAAGCAGGGGCTCAGCTGGGCTCACGGAGGAGGCCGGGGCGTCCTCCCTTTTAACCGGGAAAAGACCGAGGGTTGCAGCTGCCCCGCGACTGTCCCCAAGGCGTGCATGTAACCGGGAGAGGCAGAGCGTGCAGGTTGGGGCAAGGAGCCATATCTCAGGACCCCGCGTAGGTCCGAATGTAAGGAGCAAGCACAATCAGAGCCGCGAGTAGCAAGCCGCTGGCCTCGCTGAAATAAGACAAGTGAGGACAACAAACCAAACACGTGTGCACTTTGCAAGGCGTTACCAGGCCCGTACATACCTGCTCACACCTGTAAATGCGTACAGAGAGACAGGCCAAAATGGCACAGGCTCACTGCAATTTTTTTTTTTTTTGTTCTCAGTTTGTCACCTTTTAATCCCAAAGCCATCGTGATGACCGCAAATTCTTGGAGCGTTCGGGGATACTCGTGAGAATCCAGATACCCGGGGAACAGTAAAGGGATGAGAAGGGGATTATCGTGGACTTGGGTCTACGGAGAAGGGAAGTACGCTCCAGCTGAGATAACAGATAGTCCATTTCAGAATTTACTGATGCTATTTCTCTCCTGATGGGCACAGACACTAGGCAGCAAGAGAACTTAATCCCTTGCTCAGCTTATCGTTTTTTTTAAAAAAAAAAAAAAAAAAAAAGAGAACTTAATCCCGTGAAGCAAGCACTATGGAGGGTGAGGCGTATCAAAGCATAATCGATTTTAATGCTGGCTATTTGGAGCGTTCAATATTTATCAATCAAACACACTGCGTCCTAAGAGATTAAACTTCACAGAAATCATTATAAAAAACACTTTTTTTTTTGTTTTCTTTTTTGAGACAGAGTCTCACTCTGTCGCCCGGGCTAGAGTGAGTGCCGTGGCGTCGGACTCGCTCACGGCAACCTCCAACTCCTGGGCTCAAGCGATCCTCCTGCCTCAGCCTCCTCCTGAGTAGTAGCTGGGACTACAGGCATGCGCCACCACGCCCGGCTCATTTTTTTATGTATATATTTTTAGTCGGCCAATTAATTTCTTTCTAATTTTTTAGTAGAGAAAAGGGTCTAGCTCTTGCTCGGGCTGGTCTCGGACTCCTGACCTCGAGCGATCCTCCTGCCTCGGCCTCCCAGAGTGCTGGGATGACAGGCGTGAGCCACCTCGCCCGGCTCTAATTTTTTTCTATATATATTTTTACTTGGCCAATTGATTTCTTGCTATTTTTAGTAGAGACAAGGGTCTCACTCTTGCTCAGGCTGGTTTCGAACTCCTGACCTTGAGCGATCCTCCCACCTCGGCCTCCTAGAGTGATGGGATGACAGGCGTGAGCCACCACGCCCGGCTAATTTTTTCTATATATATATTTTTTAGTTGTCCAGCTAATTTCTTTCTATTTATAGTAGAGACGGGGGTCTCCCTCTTGCTCAGGCTGGCCTCGAACTCCTGACCTCGAGCAATCCTCCCGCCTCGGCCTCCCGGAGTGCCGGGCTGACAGGAATTTTCTTTCTCAAGGGAGAGGGAGGACCTCGTCCGCATGTCGGGGCGGTGGGGGCCCCAGGGCGCGTGTGGGCCTCAGCCGGGCACCCGCCACCCACGGCCCCGGCCGCAGCAGCAGGCCTCGTCCCTCCTGCCGGGGAAACCCCGCGCCTGCCCCCAACTCACCGTCATGTGCAGGGACGTCTCCGCGGAGAGCTCCGGCCTGCCGGGCGTCCGGGGCAGGACGGCGATGTTGAACGTCCGGCTCTCCAGCTCGCTCCCCCCGTCCCCGGCGCTGGACACCTGGAAGGAGAGGTCACCCCGGTCGGTCCCTCGGCTTCTCCCGGGCGGAGCATGTGGGCCTCTGCTTCCACTCTGTGCCCATTTCAGTCCCCACCGCGGCGTTCCTCCCACCCGACACGGTTTTGTGATTTTTTTTTTGTATTGAGACAGAGTCTCGCTCTGTCGCCCGGGCTAGAGTGAGTGCCGTGGCGTCAGCCTCACTCACAGCAACCTCAGACTCCTGGGCTCAAGCGATCCTCCTGCCTCAGCCTCCCTCCCGAGTACCTGGGACTACAGGCATGCACCACCACGCCCGGCTGACTTTTTCTATATATATTAGTTGGCCAATTCATTTCTATTTATAGTAGAGATGGGGTCTCGCTCTTGCTCAGGCTGGTCTCGAACTCCCGACCTCGAGCGATCCTCCCGCCTCGGCCTCCCAGAGGGCTAGGATGACAGGCGTGAGCCACCGCGCCCCGCTGATGTTTTATATTGATAATGTTCCCCATCCCTACCCCTAGGAATCCAGAAGACTCTAGTCCCCTGAGGTGACCTCTTTCAATTGACAACTTTGCTTCCATCCTGACTCACTCTCTGAGGATCCTGCAGTGCCCAGGTGCAAAAATCAAAAAGTTAACCTGGGCAAAGGGCGCCCGATGTTTGCTCACTCACTGGACTGTCAACGCCTTCAGGATAATCTTGTTTTAATGGTTCCCAGATTTATATATATATATAAATTATATATTTCCTGCAAGGAACCGGCTCTCTGGAAAAGCCCCTGTTTCTCACGGCATAAATCAGCCGGGCAATGAGCAGGCACAGGCCGGGCGCCGGAAGCAGACCGGGCGATAATTTTAGCGAGCTGAGCTGTCACGGCCACTTTAGCCCCAACTGGGTTCCTGACAAAGGATCTTGGCCGATCACCATGAACATACATATCTTCTCTGCCACTCGACCGTGTTTTTCTCCGTAGCCGCGCTCAAAGGCCCTTTTCTCATTCACAATTCCTCGTTTCTTTACGTTCCCGTCTAATTCTTTTATTTCCGGATGGTGCTCGCCAGGGGTTTGTCTAGTCTCACGGGTCGTTCTCAAAGAATCGGGCTTTGTGCTCCTTTGTCATTTCTATCCATTTTTATAATGAACCGATTCTTCGGCTTGTCTCTGCTAATTCCTCCCTTCTGCTCTCCTTACGTCTCCCTCGGGGCTGCTCCGGCTTCCCGAGCTAAATGTTTAGGATGTTTGTTTTTATGCTTTCCTTGAGCGATACAATAAGAGCTCAAGGCCACCCGTTTTTTTTTCTTTGTTTGTTTTTTTTCTGAATACGATTTTGTCCGCATGATTTATGTTTGGATAAGTTCTTTCTTCCCCACCCATATTTCTTAACGCTTTGCTGCTTTGATTTTTCCTCCAAGGAATTTCAAAGTAAATTACCTGGGAGACCATTTTAAGCATCTCAAGCGGTCTGAATTTTTCGTTTGCCTTTTTATGATCAATTTCCAATTATATCCACAATGGCCAGAGAAGGCACCCAGCGCAACTTCTTGCTCTTCAATTTACTGAGGGTCTCCCTGCACTGTAGTATTTGACCGATTTTTTATAAATGGTAATAACGACAAATCCATACGCCGTACTTACCACGTAGTGGGCGGTGTTATAAACATTCTATACACGCTCACTCAAATCTTTACGATAAGCCTGTTTCACAGACAAGGAAAATAAAGCACAAGGGTTCTCCCCAAGTAATCTGCCCGAAGTTGGGCCGGGCGCGGGGGCTCACGCCTGTCATCCCGGCACTCTGGGAGGCCCAGGCGGGAGGATCGCTCGAGGTCAGGAGTTCGAGACCAGCCTGAGCAAGAGCGAGACCCTGTCTCTACTAAAAACAATAAAATATATTTAAAAAAAAAAAATTTGCCCAAAGTTGCACAGCAAGGAAGCGGCCAAACTGACCTCTGAACTCTCGGAGTCCGGCTGCAAGTCTAAGATCTTTTAGGATAGTACGTGTCCCAAGAACATTCACTAAGATCTGATTTTTTCTCCTCCCTATACGATTTTCATTATTTTGAAGAAAATCTGAACGCTCTGGACCTTACGTCATCAGCGGACTCCAGTAGCTTATTTATTAATTTTTTTTTTTAATTTATTCTTTTTTGAGACATAGTCTCACTCTGTTGTCCAGGCTAGAGTGAGTGCCGTGGCGTCAGCCTCGCTCACAGCAGCCTCAGACTCCTGGGCTCGAGCGATCCTCCTGCCTCAGCCTCCTCCCGAGTAGCTGGGACTACAGGCGTGCGCCACCACGCCCGGCTAATTTTTCGTATATATATATATATATATATATTTTTTTTTTAGTTGGCCAATTAATTTCTTTCTATTTATAGTAGAGACGGGGGTCTCGCTCTTGCTCAGGCTGGCCTCGAACTCCTGACTTTGAGCGATCCTCCCGCCTCGGCCTCCACAGAGTGCTGGGATGACAGGGGTGAGCCGCCACGCCCGGCTCGCAGGTCGTCTGTAAGTGGGCGTGACAGTTTGCAGGGGACGTCAGAGAGGCAGGGAGCCCAGGTACCTGGAAGCCGAAGGAGTCGCCCTGGGCGGGGCCCCCGGAGTGCCAGTACCAGAGGAGGCCCTCGTCCACGTCCCGCTGCGTGAAGGAGCTCACAGGCGTGGCCGTCCTCCCGTCCGGCAGGTGCTGCCCTCCGTCCTCGGCCGCGGGGCTGTCCGCCGGCATGTCCAGCAGGAGGACCAGCTCCCCTGGGGGGGCGCAAGCCACACAGTGAGTGGGGGAGCGTCACTGGGGAAACCAAGTCAGACTCTCATCCTCCTTTCCCAACTTTTTTTTTTTTTTTTTTTGAGACAGAGTCTCGCTCTGTCGCCGGGCTAGAGTGAGTGCCGTGGACGTCAGCTCGCTCACAGCAACTCCAACTCTGGTTCAAGCGTTCTCCTTCTCAGCCTCTCCGAGTAGCTGGGCTACAGGCATGCGCCCCATGCTGGCTGATTTTTTTCGTAATATTTTTAGTTGGCCAATTAATTTCTTCTATTTATGGTAGAGACGGGTGATCCTTGCTCAGGCTGGTCTCATAACTCCTGACCTCGAGCCATCGCCCGCCTCGGTCTCCCAGAGTGCTAGGTGTTAGAGCCGAACTGCAGGCCTCCGGACCGAGAGACGGATTCACCGAGGCTGTGCTGGGATACAGGCGTGAGCCACCGCGCCCGGCCTGAAGAAGGAGTTTGAAATGTAAATTTTAGCTTACCACGCAACATGTTTTATAAGACTTGGCGCTGCTCCAGGTAAACACGTCAAAAGACTGGTGTTCATGATCACTTGCATTTTTATGGAAGGGGCGTGCACGGAATCGGAAAGTTCAGTTACCAGATCCCGACCTGCTGGCTGGATG